AAAAAAAAAAAAAAAAGGAAAAAACAAAAATTCCTCTTCTGTTTAAGGGAAAGAAAGCTTCCAAGGAGAGATCTACAGAGGGTCCCGGAGGCTCCTTGGAAACTTCCAGCCCAGTTCCGGAAAACCAAGCTAAACCCAAGAGCGGCAAGGGGACCGGACAAGAGAGCACTCCTGCGGGCACTGGCAGTCCGAGCGCCAGAGGGAAGAGGAGCAAGGCAGCCGTGGTTGGGAAGAAACGGCGTGGGCCCTCCTCCAGTGAGGAAGAGGAGCGCAAGGCGAGGGGGCAGGAGGAGGGCCCCCGGAGGCGTCGGCAGGGCCAGGAGCGGCAGGTGGCCTCCAGGGTGTCGTACAAAGAGGAGAGTGGGAGTGAGAGGGGCAGCAGCGGCTCTGACTTCGAGCCGTCCAGTGGGGAAGCCCGTCATTCATCCGATGAGGATTCTGAGCCTGGCCTTCCCAGGCAGAGGAGGGCCCCGGGCCCCCAGAGGACAAAGGCAGGGTCTAAGAGTGACTCCAGGAGCCACCGTGGAAGGCACCCTAGGCGCTCTGGCTTTCCGGCAGCGTCCACGAGCTCTTCGAGCAGTAAGAGCAAGCGAGGCAAGAAAATCTCCAGTGATGGTGAGGGGGCACAGAGAGGGGCAGCGGCCGGCAGAGACCAGTGGCTGGAGGTGTTCTGTGAGCAGGAGGAAAAGTGGGTGTGTGTGGACTGTGTGCACGGTGTGGTGGGCCAGGCCGTGACCTGTTACAAGTACGCCACCAAGCCCATGACCTACGTGGTGGGCATCGACGGTGACGGCTGGGTCCGGGATGTCACCCAGAGGTACGACCCAGCCTGGATGACCACAACCCGCAAGTGCCGAGTTGATGCCAAGTGGTGGGCTGAAACCTTGAGACCGTATCAGAGCCCGTTGGTGGAGAGGGAGAAGAAGGAGGACTCAGAGGTAAGGCTGGCGGGGAGGGAGGAGGAGGAGGACTGAGGGAAGACTGGCAGGGAGGGAGGAGGAGGGGGACTCAGAGGGAAGGCCTCAGCTGCCACAGGTTCGAGGCCCATCTTGGTGTACCTTATATGTGCCCAGCCCCATGTGGGGTTATCTTTGAGTGTGAGCTCCTATAATTATCACAACAGTACTATAGAGCTGGGATCATTATTGCCTTAATTTTACCATTTAAAAATATAGGACCTGAGAGATAAACTGCCTTCGTATTTGAACCCGTGTCTATCTGGGTTTGAAGGCATATACTGTGTGTGTTTAGTTATTGCCTAGTTGTAAATTTGGAGCTTGAAAATAATTTATGCAAGTCCTATAAATTGCACTCCGTGAAGAAAAACTCATGAATGTGATGGTCCTCTGTGTCCCCGCCTGTGCACCCCCATGCACACTCAAAGGAGCACACACACACAAATGTCCCTCCTCGGATCTAGAACACTCCTCTCCTGGGATCTAGAACACTCCTCTCCTGGGAAGGGAGGGACTCCGGAAGGCACTCTGGGAAGCAGACTGCTAAGACATAGTACACTGTGTGTGTCCTAGGACTCCCCATTGACCCGAGCCCCTTACGCATGAGTTATGTTGGGTAGAGCTCAGCCTTTGCCCAGATTTGCCAACGGATTAGTCCCACCTTGTCAGGACTGGTGAAGCGTGGGTTTATGTGCCACTCCCCGTAGCCGTGCAGTTCACTCTGCTGAGAGTTCAGTCTGGCGGCGTTCGGGCTCATTTTACTCAGAAGTGATGGGGAGGTGGGAATTGTGCAGGTGGCGTCCTGACTAAAGTGTTTGCGGTGGAGGCTGACCGCGCTCCTACTCCCGACCACTCCGCCTTGCCAGTCTACAAGGGCCGTCCAGAAAGATGCCAGGGAAGGCGCAGGGCCTTTGGGGAATAGGATGTGAACTACAGCAGGGGAATCGCCCACTGAGAAAGCCAGAGCCTTGAAGAAGGGCTAGGAGAACAAGTACTAGTTATAGCGGACTGAGCCGAGTCACACAGCGTGAATGGCCCCTTTGAGTGTCCCGGGAGAGCAGGGTCAAGTACACGCGCACTGCAGGCTAGTGGTGTCACTTCCGCGTGAGGCCACCTGAAGAAAGCCCGTGTGTCTTCCCCGAGGAACAGAGTAGGCGTTGCTCTGTGAGGGCTGCCAGGGGTCTGAGCGCTGAGAGTGGATAGGTTAGGTGACCCTTCTGAGCTGCCACGAGCCACAGAATTACATGCTTCTGCAGCTTTTGATTTATCTAAAATCTATCTGGGGACGTTACTGTTACTGGTGCTTGTTAAACCTCTGCTCCACTGTTTCCGAACAAGGGGGTCTAAGGATCGCCCACCTCAGACCTCCCCTCCTCTTCCAGACATGCTCAGTGTTGTCTCTCTGGCCTTTGCAGTTTCAGGCAAAGCACCTGGGCCAGCCTTTGCCAACGGTCATTGGCACGTATAAGAACCACCCTCTGTACGCCCTGAAGAGGCATCTCCTGAAATACGAGGCCATCTACCCCGAGACAGCCGCCATTCTGGGGTATTGTCGAGGAGAGGCTGTCTACTCCAGGTGCGTGAGGCGGCCCGGTGGCTTTGTCTTCCCGATGGCCCCGGACTAGCGGCCTTCTGGGGGAGGGGGCTGCTAATGTCAGCCCTTTAGTCAGAAGGGTTGAGCTTTCTGGTGTGTGTGCATGCCATCCCACGTGGGACGTGGGTAGAGGGATTGTAGCTTAAAGATGAGAACAACAAGGATTAAAAGACCAGCAGGTGAAGAAAGGTTATGGGAAAAAATAAAAAGTACAACAAGGTCTGTATAAGAATAAAAAAACATACCCATAAAATAGAAGGAAGAAAAGATTTGATCATGACAAAGTGAGTGGATATTTTAATGGGGACAAAGCTTCTCTCCGGGAAGATGAAAACGTTCTGGAGATGGATGGTGGGGACGGTTACTCGACAGTGTGAATGCAGTTGATGCCACTGAACTGCACACTTAATCACGGTGAAGATGATACATTTTATGTATATTTTCTCCACACCCAAAAAAAAAAAAAAAATTGCCAGAGAATGGGGGAAGGGAATAAGAGAAAATGAATGTAAAATATACACAAAATGAAAACAAATCGCTTTAATGTCAATTTAATGTGTGGAACAGAGAAATGTAGAAGCAGCACTTTTAAGAAATAGCAGATGAGAGAAATAATAACTAACAAGTGATTTTTTTAAAACATGGTAATGCAAGACCAAAGGTAGAGTAGAGGAAAGAGAAAACCAGGAAACCGGGAAATCACACAGGTGGGTGGAGTGAGTCCTGTGCGCAGGAGTCAGCCCTGCAGGGAGACGGCCACAGCCCCTGTTCAGGGTCTGTGGTGGGACTTCGTCTTCCAGCCTGCTCAGGGCCTCAGCTACGACGAGAGGCCCCCGGGGCCCGGCCGCCCTAACCGAGGCGGTAAGGCACAGGCTTCCTGACGCGGTTGCGGGAGAGGAGGTCTGGTAGGAAGAAAGTACCAGCATGATCCGCAGGAACCACCATGTCCGCCATAGGAAGAAAGCATTAGAGGTGGACAGTTTTTCTGGTAGTAAAAGACACCAAGCAAAGTGTGCTATTTAACCCTTTGAGAGCATGCAGTCCGCTGCTGTTAAGTACATTCACATATAATGCACACATAATGTATGTAATGTACATATATGTACGTATAATGTACATTTAAATGTACAACCATCCCCCCCCCGCATCTCCAAAACTTTTTCATCTTCCCAAACTGAGACTCTGTCCCCGTTGAACACTAACTCCCCGCCCCCCTTCCCACAGCTGCTGGCACCCACCCGCCTACTCTCTGTCTCTGTGCATTTGCCTCCTTTCAGGACCTCGCATGAGTGGGACCATGCAGTATTTGTCCTTGTGTGCCTGACGTCCAGGGGGTGGACACTTGTTGCTTTCCTTCCTGGCTTTTGTGAACCGTGCCGCTGTGGACAGGGGTTGTGCAGCTGTCTCTTTGAGACGCTGCTTCCGGCTCTTTGGGGTGGGACTTGGGTGTTTCACTTAGTGAAGAACCGACACGCTGTTTTCCACAAAGCCTGCATTGTTTTACAGTCTCCCCAGCAGAGGACAAGATCCCAATATTTCCACACTCTTGCCGACACTTGTGTCCTGGTTTTTGTAGTCACAGCTGCCCTCATGGGTGTGAAATAGGAGCCGAGATTTATTCCGACACGGCTGTGTCCACTTCCCCGCTGTGCTCCTTGGGAATGTCCAGATAGTGCCCGCCTGCCCCGCCTAAGACCGTGACCACGACATAATTACTCCTTTGGGCAATCGGAGATGGGCTGCCTTCGGCAGGAGTGTGGGTAGCGCTCCCAGCTCAGACAGGGATGCTGTGAACAGAGGAGCGCTGCCCCCGCGCTGTGGGCCTGGAACGTGTCTGGTCCTCCAGCAACCTGGCAAAGCAGAGAGGACAGAGCTCATTACCCCTGATCGACAGAGGAGGACGCTGAGGATCAGGAAGGGAAAGTGGCTTGTCCGGGGTCACTCCGTTAGGCAGTGGCACAGAGGAGGCAGTGCGCCCCTTGTGCCCCGTCCTGTGCCGAAGTTCAGCCTCAGGGCGTTCGGTGAAGGGCCTGATTTCTGCACTGGAAGGGCACTCAGTGCCCTTGCTCACTGGAGCCGCGCTCTGGACAGAGCTCAGGGCTGCCAGCTGAGGAAGAGACGGCCGTGCCCTGTCAAAGAAGGCGCAGTGAGGACGGCAGTTGAAACTTGTTGGAAAGTCGCCTTGCCAGTCTCGGCTATAGCTCTTAGCTCTGGAAGGAGAGTGAAACCAGAGGCTCTCTCTAATCAGGCTGCTGGGAATTAATGACTCTCTCATGTGCATGGATCTTACTTCCGTGGTAATTCATTAGCTTAGTATAGTTTCCGTGTAGTCTTCCTTGGGGTTCACTGCCCCTTCTTTGGACACTCGTCCCTGCCCCCATCTCTGTGTTTAGCAGCAGACCAGGCCTTCGGCAACCACGCACTTGTTCAGGTATCTTGTCCTCTACAAGCTGCAAAGGGACTCTCACTGTGGGAGAAGTGGGGGGGCCTTGGCATGAAGCCTAACACAGACAGATAACTCCATCAGGTCAGGACTTGTAAGTGGATGCATTCCCCCAGAAGATAGGAAGTCCAGGTTAGCTGTTTGCCTAACGCAGGTCCCCCAGTTCCCTCAGGAGCAGGGCCTTAGGAGAGAACTGAGGGCTGAGAGCATCCTTCTGAGAGGCTGTGTGAGGCCTTGCCTCTGTGCACACAGCGTTTCTTCGGTGCGTGTGAACTGAGTTTGTCCTGTGTCTCCCCCTGTTGGTTCCTGCAGGGATTGCGTGCATACCCTGCACTCCCGGGACACGTGGCTGAAACAAGCGAGAGTGGTGAGGCTGGGAGAAGTGCCCTACAAGGTAACCACTGGGGGGCGCGCAGAGGGCAGAGGCGTGGGCACTAAGGGCTGCTGAGTGCGCGCCCAGGAGAGGGACCCAAGTCTGACTTTTCTGGCTTGAGAAAGATTGGAGGAAGGGAAAAGCATTCAAATATGGCTTACTTGAATGAGGAATTTGCCAGGTATGGATCATTCAGAGCATGCAAGAAGTTTCATGTTTTTGAAGGGTTGGAAAACAGAGGCTGCAGGTGACCCTTTACAGAAAACCCTTCCCTGGAGCAGCTCATGTGCCCAGGCGCCAGTCCTTAGCCCCTTACGCTGCGCCCATACCACTCCTCCCTGTAGAAGTTATGCAGCCTTGTAGCCAGTCCTCCCGAGTGAAACATTTGGCCACTAGACCTCCTTGGGGAGTGTGCCGTGGGTCCCAAACTCCGCGCCTTGCGCGGTGCGTGACATAGGCAATTTCCGGGTGTGAATCCTGGCACTGTCACTCACCTGGCCGTGGGGCCTTAGTGACTTCATTTCTGAGTCCAGTTACCCCGTGAGTGGTGAAAGCGCAGAGCATGGCATGGCCGGGAAAGGCCAGGTCTGGCCCTCGGGAGCTGCCGCTGCAGGTGGACGCTCTATACCTCCTGGGCTGCTCCTCTGTAAAACGCAGTGACAGAGCCTACCTGCTGGCTTTGTTGGCAGAGCTGAATAAGCTAACACAGAAGCACTGGGCCGAGTGCCTGGGACGGGGAGCGCTCTGCAGGCGTTGGCTAGTGGTAGCGGCCTGAGGGGTCCTGGTGGTACTAGGACCTGTAAAGGGGGTAAAAAACACACCCGTCTCAGGTTTGTTGGGGCGGTTAAATGAGGCTGCGGTTGTAAAGCACTCAGCACAGTGGCCCGTATACAGTCAGTGCTTAGGAAGTGGGTGTCTGTGTCATAAACTGGCTGTTCCCTCTGGCGTAGATGGTGAAGGGCTATTCCAACCGGGCCCGGAAAGCCCGCCTCGCCGAGCCCCAGCTGCAGGACCAAAATGACCTGGGTCTGTTTGGCAGGTGGCAGACGGAGGAGTACCAGCCCCCTGTGGCTGTGGACGGCAAGGTAAGGGCGGTGCTCACTGGGGTCAGGACCCAGGCCACTCCATTCTGCAGCTGGCTCGACCTGGTGTCCCCCCCCCCCCCCCCCCACTCTGCAGGTCCCCCGGAATGAATTTGGGAACGTGTACCTCTTCCTGCCCAGCATGATGCCTGTCGGCTGTGTCCAGCTGAACCTGCCCAACCTGCACCGCATAGCCCGCAAGCTGGACATTGACTGTGTCCAGGCCATCACTGGCTTCGACTTCCATAAAGGCTACTCCCATCCCATGTGCGTGCGGGGCCTTCCATGGAGGCCAGGAGGGGCGGGGCGTCCTGGAGAAGGGGCAGGAAGTCCGTGTGAGGGTGGAGGCCATTTTCCAGGTTTTACTCTGGATTTGCAAAGTCAGCCTTAGCACTTTACCTTTTACTTTCACACTTCTACTCTGGCTTCCAACCAGAGGCAGCAAAACTACTGAAACCAGCATGCCGATGATGCTGGATGGAAACAGTTCCTGGGGGTGGTGACAGCATGCTTCCTGCTTGGTGGCCTCTGTCCTCCCATGGGGTGGGGTGGGAGCCCTCTTCCCAGGTGTCTCAGGCAGGCCTGGGGAAGAAGATGCGGTGTTAGGGTCCACAGGCCTTCCTTTGCACGGACGGTGCTGCGGCTGGGATTGTGGGCGGCTGATGCAGGGAATCCTTCAGGGCTCTGAGTGCCTAGGAGCCACCTGCTGGCCTCCACGAGGGGGGAGGAGGAGAGGCCAGAGCAGGCGGCAGGCTCGTAAGACGATCCGCGTTGCATCCCCACAGAACTGACGGCTACATTGTCTGTGAGGAATACAAAGACGTGCTCCTGGCTGCCTGGGAAAATGAGCAGGCACTCATCGAAAAGAAGGAGAAGGAGGTGAGCAGCCTGGCCAGGGTGGGCCTGGGTGGGGGGCCTGAGGTGCGAAAGCAGAGTCGCAGGGGGACGCAAGCCCCCAGGTGGGGCAGGGGCCTCACTTGCACTGTGAATGAAAGGAGACTATGTGCGCTTGAAAGCTCTTTCCAGCTCTTGCACTTTGTGGAAGGCACCCTAGGGAGCCAGCTCCGGTGAACAGGGTCCTGTCTGCACCTCACAATCCACCATCCTTGTCCACAGTCTGCCTGGATCCCAGCTCTGGGGACCCTGCACCTGCTGGCCACACCTGCCTCTGTTGAAAGGAATCGCCCGTGGTCCGGGTCTGCATGGCCTCCTCCTTGAGGATGTTAGGGTCTCTAACAGTTCACAAGAGGCTTCTGTTTTGCTGCCTTTTATGTGCCTCATTTTATAAATCACACTGATTTTTTTTTTAAATGTTTATTTTTAAGAGTGCACGTGCGTGTCGGGGAGGGTCAGAGGGGGAGACAGAGGATCCGAAGCTGGCTCTGCACTGGCAGCACAGAGCCCGATGTGGGGGTTGAACTCACGCACCATGAGATCATGACCTGAGCTGAAGTTGGGTGCTTAACTGAGCCACCCAGGTGCCCCAGTCACATCGATTTTGAAACAGACTTGCACAACTGAGAAACTCACTTAAGCTCAAAATCTTTTTTCAGATCTTCATATGTTCACAGGTTCCATCTTGACATTTTTCCTGAAAATGGCAGTACTTAACGTTTTGTGCCCTCCGTTTTATTCTGCCTGCAGAAAAGGGAGAAGCGGGCCCTCGGGAACTGGAAGCTGCTGGTCAAAGGACTGCTCATCAGGGAGAGGCTGAAGATTCGCTACGGGGACAAGGTCAGTGTGGCTCCTTTGGAAAGAAGACAAGCCCAAGTGGGACTCTGAACCATGGGCCCAGATTCTGCCCAGAGATGGCTTATGTTTTGACACCATGGTCCTGTGTCTCTGAGGCCCCGTGTCCTTATTTTGTTGGGAAAGGTGTCCCTAAAATGAGCCTCAGCCGGCTCTTCGAGACCCCAGTCCTACCCCGACACCACCTATTCTGTTTCTGCACGAGCCAGTGCCCGCCCTGGGTCTGATCTCATGCTAAACCCATCCAGGGAGGGACAGGCACCCTGCATTTCTGTGTTTGACATGTCACCCTTAGCCTTGCAGTGTGCCCTGTGCCTGTGACCGTCCTCCAGGCCCCGGGGTTGCTCATTTAATTCACATCCCCGAGCACCTGCCCCGGCTGGGCCGACCTCTGGGCGCAGGTGCAAAGTTGACACGCAGCCCTCAAGGGCCTCCCCAGGGAGGCCCCTCCCCACAGTTATGTGGTGTGTTCAGTCTGGGTCAGACACAGAAATGTGCTCTGGGAACAGCTGTAACCACACCTATTTTCTTCCCCGTCTGCAACCCCACATGCTGCCAATTTGCCTTCAAAAAATATTTTGTTGTCACGCTTCTCCCTCACATCCCTTCGGTGACCTTTCACCAGGCTTTATGTTGACCCCGTCCACCTGTGTGCTTTCGCCTTCTGCCTCCCAGCCCTCCCTGCCCAGCTCCCCGGCCCGGCGGTCAGGGGGTGCCACCTCGGAGAATTTGGCACTGAGAGTTGGTCCTTTGCAGTTGAAGACATTAATGCGCTTTTTCCCAAGTGAGGTAGAGTAGTAAGTGCAAAGCACCAGTCCGGTGATCTAGACTCGGCCATACGCTCCTGGAGAGCAGTTTCCTGCATAAACATCTTTGCGATTCCCAGCACTGAGCCCAGAGCGAGTTCTCCAGTACTTGCATGGAGGAGTCCCCAGTCTGAGGAAGGCTCTTCCCCAGCCCCATGTGGTGCCTTTGTCATCCCAGAGCCACTGGCCCTGCGTAGGCTGCTGCTGGGGGCTCTACTGCCCCTGACGGGGCTCCCTGCCACCCGACCGCTGACCTGGGCCTGCCCTTCCCCTCCACTGTCCCTCCCTCTCCAGAGCGAGGCCGTCGCTGCCCAGGCACATGCGGGAGGTGGACTCTCTTCTGATGAAGAGGAGGGGACCAGCTCTCAAGCAGAAGCATCCAGGATCCTGGCTGCCTCCTGGCCCCAAAACCGAGAGGCTGAAGAGGAGCAGAAGCCACAGTGCCCTAAGAAGACCAAAAGGGCAAAGAAAGCGGCAGCCTCCCACCTGTTCCCATTTGAGAAGCTGTGATGGGGGTGGCCACCTGTCGTACCCTGTGCCCCACAGGCCCCACACCTGCCCTGGGAGCTGCCCGGGCCCAGGGGTGGTGCTGTCTCCTCTGAGAAGGCACAGAAGCAGATGGGGGCAGGGGATAGATGGTCAAGCTCAGGTGGTCTGGTCTGGCCCCCGTCCTCGTCAGATTCACCCCGGGTAGGGCTTCCCACGCTTTCTGCTCCCCCGCCCTATGCTTTGAGCTCCGGAGCACTTCCCTGGAGACTCGCCCACCTAGACGTTGCTCATCGCATCTTTGGAAACGCGAGTCAGTTCTTTTATAGAAACCACTGGGCAATTTAGGAAGACACCGGTCCTTTCTTCCAGGTGGATCCTTCATCTGTCAGACCCTCGTGCGTGCTTTTCCCTCTCTTGCAGACCTGGGGCCCTCTCTCTGCGGGCCACTCACTTTCCTTCAGGGTTACTACCACTGCCTAATGCCGCCCCTCCGTGGTGTGGGAGAGAGCAGAAGCAAACGCCCTCATCTCAGATTATGGGATTGTCGGGATATGCTTTTCAAAGTAACAGTTCAGGGTGGCAGACGACTGGAACAAAGAGCTGAAATCAGGAAAGAAAAGGAAAACACTGAGAGTTAAATGTTAGTGAACGTGGATCAGTGTTAAACTAGATTTTATTCATTACGGGATAAATTTATAAAAGCTCTATGCATTGTAGATATTCAAGAGAAGTAACTTTTGTAACATTTTGAGGAAAAAATAAAGCATTTATCTAAAAAGACCGAGCTCTGCGTTTTCTTCCAGATTTCACGTCAGCTAAGAACACCTGCATGGCAGAGTGGTTTTTCCACATGTTGATACTCAAGGTCGGGTTTTGTTCTCAGGTTGACTGGGAACTAACTCGTCGTTACACAAACTGACCTTTTTCTTTCTACTCTTAAGCCAGGAGAGATGTTACTTAACCTTTGATAGGAGCAAACTTCCAGCCAGTTCTATCCAAGGGAAACAAACAAAACACTTGGGGTGTGACTCATGCGGCAAGAGCCTGGCTGGAGGGCTGGTGTTGAGAAACAAACTGGAGTTGCCGTGGAAACCACAGAGCCTCACAGTTCCCGCACGCTCTCCTAGAGGTAAGCGACTTGTTTTGTGGGAGTTGAATGGCAGTGGTCCCGCGGATGAGGAGAGTAGGTTTTGGGAAGTAACTCAGCTGCTTCACATCTTATAACAAAAAGGACACACACTGCCGGCCCCAGCGTGGACAGTCAGCAGCTGTCCATGGATCCAGAACAGGAGGCAGCGGGGCCCCCGGGGGGACTCAG